ATATTTACATATATACTTATATACATTTATATACTTGGTTTGTTTGTTTCTCAATGAGCAAAAAATGCTGCACATATTTTTATTGTTTTTTTTATTCGATAACTCATTCTAATTGCTTAGTATCGATTGACATTCGTTAGTTTCATGAACTGCAAATAAATATTGCACACTCTGCTTTTTCTTTCATATTAGAAATATTTGCAATTCCATTCAGTAGGAATTTATTATTGAAAATATCAAATAGGAGTGTGTGAATAAAATAGAAAAAATAAAATAAAATTTTCCACTAAATTTTTGATGTGTCTTATGTGTAAATCTGTGTGTGCGTGTATCGTTGGCTGTATACATATACATATGTAAAGATGTTTATGTGTATATACATATAAATGAATATATGTGACTCTGTCCAGTTTACAGGGCATCTGCTAGTCAATCATGCTGGCATTGCCATTTGCTTGCCGGCATTTCGATTTTTGCGGCAATCCAACAATTGTTGCCTTGACCCACCCACAAAACGCGATCGATGTGTAACAGATCCCAAGCATTTTCCACTGATAGATACAGCCACACACACACACACATACACAGAAACGAATATTTATATATTTATAGAACCAGAGTTATTTATGTGCGTTTGCGTATTCCGTGTGAAAACCCCAAAATTGTGCTGGCAGGTGAGTCAGTGATCCATTAAAAAGCTAACACTCGTAGTTGGGTACGAGAGTGTAAAGTGAGGTGCGAACGCCCCAAAAGTGCTCACACAGACACATACACAGTTGCATACAACTGTACATGTATGGAGTTGTGTTAGCGCCGGCGCCATTGGCGCCGACTGTCATTGATTTACCGTTGTGTGCTGGTCACACTTCGGTGGCTTCGCACTGGCCTCAGCCTGAGCCTGAGCCTGAGCCTGGACTGTGAGCATCCTGTATCGCGTTAATCGGTAATCGGATCGATGTGCGGTTGGACGCTGCACGTGGCATTGCCAACACGCCACACACTTCAGCGATAACGGCAGCGACAGCAAAAGCGTCAGCATCGACGTCATCGTTGCCCAACCCCCTCGCGCACTGCCCACACACTGGCGAGTCGGAGAGCTAATTAGAGCTAACTGTTTACCCAAGCGCGTGCCCATTGAGTCAGCAACGGCGGCAGCGACGCTAATGCCGGCAGAGCAGCGTTTTATGAATGAATTCGCGACACCCGCATTAGCAGCGACAGCGACAGCGACGCTAGCCGCTGCAGCAGCAGCAGCGATAGCAACGACAGCAACGAAGCAACAGGTGAGCGAGCACAAAGCGTGAGCGAAACCCAAGCAGGTTCTTTGCGCTCTTCCACTCACTCACACTCACACACTAATCATGGTCGCTCTCTCAGCGCTCACGAAGAGCGGCTGTCTGAGCGCGTTGTCTGCTCTGCCATTGGTCCGTTGTCTGCCGTTCGCATCGCAATTGAGCGCAACAGGCGCACCAATCAGCGCTGCGGCTGGCACTAATACAGCTGTGCACGCTCACACACACACGCGCGCAGTGCCCTTTCGCTTTCTCTCGCTCTCTCTCTGGCGTTCTCTCTGCCTTCCTCACACACACACACGCAGACAGACAAACACGTAGCTGGCTTCTGGCCCCAAATGCAATCTCAGTTTGCGTGGGATCTGAGTCAAGTTTAATAATTAGAATTAATCTGGGAATTTTACTGGGGCCAATTTTAGCATTAGCTTATATATTTTTATCGCTTATCCGAGTGTAATGGATTTTCCAGTTTATGCACTGTTATACCGCATCGCTCTGCAGCCAACTTCAGCGCTCTACCACTAAAATTCCCAGTTTGATTTTTCGAATTTGTTGGAATTACCCAAACAGCTGCAAATATATATTTATTGTGTGTATACATATGTATATGTATATTTATGTGCATATAATCTGTAGTAAGATAAAGTTTAATTTGTGTTAATTACCTGATTCGATTAATGTGCATGGAAATTTTGGAGAAATATATATGTACATGTGTATATAAATAATATATGCATATATACATATATTAATCACAAATGTGAAACCAAGAAAAAAAAAAACTGTTTATACATATTTAATTTGAAGTTCATTATAA